CAAATAAATTCTTTAAAAATCAGACAATGTGATTTTCTGGATTTTTTTTTCTCATTTTGTCTCTCATAGTTGAGGTATATCTATGATGAAAATTACTGGCCTCTCTCATCTTTTTAAGTGGGAGAACTTGCACTATTGGTGGCTGACTACTTTTTTGCCCCACTGTAGATGGGATCTTTCTTGACATGCTCAAGGCGAGCTTTTAAAATTGTGGCGCTGTTGTTCAAAGTCCTCTTTAGTGTTTCTCTTAAGCCTGGCTTACACTATGCGATTTTTTTTTTCTTCAATCGTTGCATGCATCTGCTGCTCACACTGTACGACTAAACGCAGGGTTTAGTCGTACGGTGTGAGCAGCAGCTCACGATTTATGTTCGGCTCGACGCTCTGATGCGATCTACCTGCTCATACTGTATGACTAAAAACCACATAGGACTCAGCTCCGCAGTGAGATGGAGCTGCTCTATAGCTCTACTGTATATCCTGAAGCCAAACAAATAGAAGGGGGACATTAAGCTCACTATAGTGAACCGCGCTGCCTTGTCAATTTGTGCAATTTTGTGCTGAGGGTCCTAGAAAGAAAGGGGGACGACGTATTTGGAAAAAGCTGCTGTGGTCCGTCAATTTTTCAGACGGAGCTGCATTTCACTCATTGCATCCCTGCCATGCTGCTGTGTTTACATCTGAGAGGAAGAATAAAAAGAAGAATCCTTATTTGCGCATGCACCCTGAGCGATTTGCCCACGACGGTTGGTAGAATATCAAACATGTTTGATATTCTCTCAACCTCACGATTCCTAATCGGGAGGTGGTCGTGAGAGACTGATCGCTGCTCGTAACCCCCTGTACACTACACGACTCACGATCAGGCTGAAAAATCACACTGAAAATCGCACAGTGTCACCGGGCTTTAGGGCTGGTGGAACAAGCAAAGGGTAGCGGACTGAGATGGCTGTCTCAAAATAGAAGTAGTTGAAGAATTTGTTCCAGTTATTGAGAGATCAATGCCAGGTTCTTAGTTTCCTTTAAATGTTTAAAAAAGCTCTGACCAATTGTTAAACTTTAGAGCTGTTTGGCTTTGTCCCGGCCATGGAATAAGAACCGATCTTTAACTTTACTGGATTACTCAAGGAGCCATGTTAATTATTGTAGGGCATAAATTCCTGACACACTTTCTGGATTTTTAGGGTGTACAAAGATTACTATTTCTAGTCACTATACACATGGATACAATTTAGCTATTTTTAATCTGTGTTTTTTCTTCACTGTTTCCTGCACTTATACAAACAACACTCCAACTATAGATATATTTCGTTATTCTGCATTGGTAAATCTATGGCAGATATAACCTTCCTTTCTTATGCATTAACAATGCATGACAGCTTCAATGTGAGGGACTTTAGTGATTCTCACATGACAACCCCGTATTTTTGTCAAATACTTTGTATTTGACAATGAACTTAGATTTAAGTTGTTTTTATGCGGGTGGAACCTGTTCCTCTTTATTACTTTTTTTTGGTTTTGTAATAACATTTACTTCTGCGTAGCCTTATGTTATATACATCCCTTTTTATTAGCAGCTTTCAGCCTGACTGAGATTAAAAATTAACTCGGAAACACCTCTCCTTTCAGATTCATGAGAAGTGTCAACTTGGATCTGACTACACTACTGGCTGTAATTGCGTTTTGTCTGTGGCGTTTTGTTTTTTAATCTATCAGATTCTAAATGAAACATCAATTATAGCTGCATGCGATTTTAAACTCTGAAGCCAATGGCAAAAAAAAAAGAACAGCTTTACTGAGTGATAAATGCCTTTTATTTAAATAACACTATTGAGTAATAAGCTTTATTCAAGTTGCCAGGGTTTACAGGGACTATAATATGATGCTCTGTGATAATATTCTACAGGAGGTAGATATATTGCTGCTCTTTCACTGTCATTTATACCTTTGTGACTTTTCCTCCAGCATGTTCAATCATTTTTTTCCCTTAATTTAACAAATATTTATTTAAAAAATCCACCAAAGCAATTTTGTTTAGTGCTGGTTGTAGTCTTCCTATTTATTTTCTCCCCTGACAAATCTTGCTTTGATATTGTTTGTTTCTTATTCTTTATGTTAAATCAATGTACTAAGAGATCGATCTTGAATGATAAAAAACAAATGAATTACTATTTGTCTTATAGATTCACATTGAAATTATTTGTGTATTATTATTATAACTCAGTTGGAACCTGTTTTTAAAGGTTGCTTTTCCTTGTTTATCCCCAGACAATGCGGCCAAAGGCCTCCCTCTAACCTCCTGAGCGTTGTGTCATCCGGTAACATCATGCTTATTAACTTCATTGCTGACACCGATGTTCAGAAGCCAGGCTTTCTAGCAGAGTACACAATCATCCCCAAAACTAAAGGTACATTTTCACAAATTAAGAGTTCTTACCGTGGTTTCCATTTACTCACTTTTATGGGTCAAATTTATATTATGAATACTATGCAATGCTTTTTTTTTTATTAACATTTAATGTACTTATTAAAATTATGGCTCCTATACATGTTCTATTTAATGAAAATATAATATTCCATATGCTAATTTTTCTTTTTCCTTTTATCTTTTTTACTTTACATAAATTAGAATATAAATTATTTTCCTTGACAATGAATTTGCAGTAGTGGAGTTTTACTACCTGTAAGTTAAGGCTGAAGTAGAGTTCTGATTTATCAGTGTCATGTTTGGACTAAAAACATGCACTTTTGAATATGCTGTCTGTCAGGAACCCCTCCTGAGGTAGCTGACTTCTCTCAATGTTGATGTGGTGAAGCAGCTGTATTCCAAACCCCTCGTCCTATCTTTAAGATGGTGCCTTGCCACACTTTAAAGGACGCTCATTTTAGCTGCTTATATCAATGATTTCATTCTTTTGGTTATGACAATATTTTAGGATAGGAAAATGGACAGATCGGTATTTCGGGAGCTTGTCTTTTGGCTCAGCTACCCCTTCATCACAAGAGATGGTGTCCACATTATGACTGCAGCCACCCGATCCATCTGTCACTCCATTCTCCTGCCACTTGTGAACAGGACCCCAGGATACTTGTACCCCTCCACCCCTCCTTCAACCTGAAGAGGTCAAGCCAATATTTATTATCTGAGAGCCATGGCCTCAGGCTTGAAATGACTGATCCTCATCCCGGCTGCTTTGCACTCAGCTGTGAACTGCTTCTGGCAGTAGGGAGCCAGCAGAACAACTGTTAAAAGCTGAGATGAATTCAACTGGTCCCGAACACAGCTATTAACCAGACACAGCATCAAGGGTTTTTATTTTATAGATATATATATATA